TTGAAGAGGCTCAGCTGCACCTGGGTAGGAAACTACCCTTCCTTCCTGTCTCCCAACAGGACACTGGCTGTCCTCCCTCTACCCCTTGGCAACTCAGGGAGGAAAGGAGGAGGAACAGGGCCGCATGCAGAGCCTGTGTTGAATATGCGGAGGGCTTCGTCTACTTACATGTGCCTCTATGAGTGTCTGGAGCTCATACCCACTCAGGACATTGCCTGTGCTCTTCTCTCTATGCCCTGGGATCAGAAGTGGACAGGCCCACCAGGACCCCAGAGGCTTCCTTACTGTCACTCTGTCGGCTATGGAGGCTGACGCTAATAATCATCCGGTGATCACCCGGTCACTGACCCATGTGCCTGCAGTCTTCTTGTACTTCAGAGTTGTGACTCAGGCCATCCTCAACAGCTGCCTCGTGACCTTGTCCAGGTGCCACACAGCGGTAGCCTGGTTCCTCGGTGTGGGTCTCCCACTGGGTTCCATGGTGAGTGCTAGGTTGCTAAGGCTGCCTTCCTTGAGTTGACATGCATTGTGCAATCTTTGGCCTTCCATTCCCATCACCACCGTCTTTCTGGCTTCTACTTGCACTCTCCTGGGGACATCTGCTCTGCGGAGTAGGCAGTCCACCTTATAGATTGCAAATTAGCCCTAAGCTAAGGGCCCATGCCGGTATCCTGTAGCTGGGAAAGCAACAGGACACGCTACTCCAGGGCCAGTGTTCCCAGCTACTGCTCCCCACTGGTGCCCACTGGGGACTGCATGAGCACCTTCGGAAGGGACTAGAGACTTTCTTAGAGGAGCAGGGCTGGCATCAGAGAAGCGCAAATGTTGCAAGGAGGGCAAGCAGAAGTCAAAAGGCCTGAGTGTCATGGTGTCCTGGGGACTAACGTATTGAGAGGGGGGCCTGGAACCTGCTGGGCAAAATAAGCCCCAGAATGAGGAAATGAGAGACTATCTCCCATTTCCAAGGCATTCTCCTGCCTGTGCTGAGCAGGGTACATTTGCCGTGTCCCAGGGGCTTTCCAGCAACTACTCACAATGACACTCCTACCCCCTCCCACCCCTGGGTGCACACAGGCGCCTCTACCTACCAGCTTCTGTTTTAAACACTTTATGGGTGTCACTGTCGTTGAAACATGATCCTAAAGAGCAGGCATCAGTGTTATACCCATTGACAGTGAAGGCCTAGAGAGAGCAAGTGATTGTGGGTCACATAGATGCCAGGTGGAACTGTTTCGGTCACAGACTGTTTATGTCTCTTGCCCTGAATCCTAGCAGGACAGCAGACCCCTAAGGCCAGGACAGGTGTCCACAGCTTTCTGGCTTCTATAGAGGACCTTGTGTAGTGCAGGAAGCCCCACACTCTGTAGCTGTTTGGCAGCTGTTTGGCAGTTTAATTTAGGCAAAGTGCTCGGATGCTTTGGCACCTAAGGTGGCAATGGATTAGAATGGAGCCAGGCAATAAAATGCTAGTTGGTGTTTGTTGGGAGACACAAGTGGTAGCCTGCACCCCTAAACCTAGCACTTGGGAGTCAGAGGCAGGCAGAACTTGAGTTCAAGGCCAGCCTGGTCTACATAGTGAGTACTGGGTCAGCCAGAGCTTAGTAGTGAGACCTTGTCCCAAAAGGTATCATGATCAGTTTTAAAATGTTTTATTAATATATTTGTGTGTATATTTGTGGGGGGGGATATGACACAGCACACATGGGGAGATCAGAGGACAATATGTGGGAGTCGGTTCTCCTTCCGACATGTGGGTCTCAGGGCTGGAACTCAAGTCCCAGCCCCCATTTGATCACTTCAGAGGTGTTGGAATGTGAATGCTTGTAGGCCGTGTTGAGAAGTTTGGAAATAGTTTGAAATCTGTTGGGGTCCAAAGTAGTCTCCACTGCTACAAGGTGGGGTCAGCTAGAAGGACACCTGGTGTAGTGTTCTGATAAGCAGTGGGAAAGCCGGCTCCCTCCGATCTGGGAGGCTAGATAACTACCAGAGCTACCCATCCCAGTGCTTGGATGTTGTGTAAGACATCCCTCCGGTGGACATCAAGGAAGGGACCATTCCTTAGGCACTGTCTACAAGAGACAAGTTTGCAATTTGTTCTGCCCTCAGGGCTAGACCGTCTGGAGCAGAGGAGGCTGTGGGTGCCACTGTAGTTGTGTTTCTGAGTGCCACGTCTTACTCACAGGTCTCTGTGGACCTGCTCCTGGTTATGGTTGACCTCTGCTTCAATTGTCTCCTCAGGTTCCCAGCTTCTGGTGAGCAGGAAGAAGGCTCTCTCCATGTAGCTATTCCAAACTGGGGAGGAGCTCAGAAAGGGTGCAGTGATGTTGCAACGCCTCTCCACATTCCTCTGCACCCCCCCCATACACACACACAAATGCTCAACTCTGGGAGGGTGGCCTTGGATCTAAGCGACATCTGTAGCCAGCTGTGCAGGTGGCCGGTGTACCTCCAGCCGCCCAGGCAGAGCAAATGTGCCAACTGCTGCCATGAGGCCAAGCAAGCTGTACTTGTTGGTTGAGGATGGTTGTGGGACCCTTACTGATGTTTGAGGATGGAGGGGACTCACCACAGGGAGGGATATAAGTTACAACCAGAGCTGTCTCTGCTGCCCATACTGCGACTGTAGGTATGTATGCTTCACCAGCTAATACACAGGATTAAGCCAGTGGAGAGAGACGAGAGGCAAGAGTTGGGAAGCAGGTGGGCCTTCCTAGATCAGAGTGTGCTTAGCTCCACCTGGCTGAATCATTTGGTCCCATGGGCTTCTCCTGGCTTGTCTCTAAATGTACCCGTACTCCCTTTTGGGCTGCAAATCTCCATGTAGTGTCGGTCTCCAAATAGCTCCTGTTGGTCTGCACCCACATGGACATCTGCATTGTGAGGGAACTGCTGTCAACCTCTGTGCTCGCCCAGGCTCTCAGTAAGATCCTCTCTGTATTGCTCCTCTTACCCCCTTGGACACAGGATTGTGGCCTTCAAGGCATGCAATGATGTGGCTAACACACATCCCACCAGCTGCCTTCCAGTTCCCATGGCCAATCCTATACCTTCATTATCTTTCCAAAACTATCCCACTTGGGACGGGGGGGGGCAGATAGACAAGGCTGCTCTTCACCCGTAGGGCAGCCCGAGGTAAACCAAGGAAAGCCCTGAATCCCACACAGTGACCCGGCTGGTGCCCAGAGGAGCAGGGCTTGGATCGGGAGGCGGGTTGCAGGCGGCACAGCCTGCATCCACCCTTTGTGCTGGCAACTAGCCTCCTAGAGCTGCAGCCCTCTGGGCCTCGTGCTTGGCGTACAAATGAGCTTCCAGATGCCTGGTCCCCTGTGCAAGAAGCATAACCAGGGCCTGGAGAAAGAACGGAGCAGCCTGAAAACACACTTGGGTCCGGCCCAGCCTTTCCTCATAGGCGGTTATTCCCTCTAACCACGTCTGGTGTGTGCTGGGCACCCACTAGGAGCCTCACCAGCTTCCTGTCCTTGTACTCAGTCTCCTCCTTGTGCGGGTGGCAGTAAGGGCACCCGCAGAGAAGGGCGTATCAGCACGTCTCCTGCCTCTAGAGGAGAAATAGGTGCTCTCTTTGGGGCCACAGCCCCACCTCCCTCCTTGACCAGGTTAGTTTGTGCACCAGATAAACTGAGCAAACCCCTGGAAGCCTCAGTGAGACCCGTCAGAGCTGTGGGCTGAGGGAGAGCCTGTACTGGGCCTGGCAGTTTGAAATGCCAGGCACTCCCGGTCGTAGTGTATTTGGGCATATTCCTCCAGTGCTGGCAGTGGGTGACTTCGGGGTCTTTATTTTTAAGTGGGAGGAGCCAAGAGACGAAGACCAACTGGGGTTTGGCCTGCTGAAGGCATTCTGCCCTCTGTGTGGTTTCTTCAGAGCAGGGACACCATCTTTCTCACCACTCGGGCTGTGATTGCTGGGAATGGCTTTTGCATGCCTGAGCCGCACGCGCGCACACACACACACACACACACACACACACACACACACACACACACACACACACACCACACCTTTATCACCAAGCACTCTCTGAAGCGTGCAAGGGAATTGTGAGCTCCTTAGGTTCATGCAGAGAGGAGGTGACAAGCTCAGCCTTACCATGTCCCCTCCCTAAACTTGGCTGTATCCTGGAAGAACCTAAGGAGCCTTTTAGTTCTGAGTGGAGCACAGAGGTGATGAGGAAAACTCTTTCCCCAGCCTTGGCTCACTAGAGACCCAGTCTGGTGGCAGAGACTCTTGAATGTGCTGCCTTGGCCATCTCCAGCACACTCTCTCTCTCTCTCTCTCTCTCTCTCTCTCTCTCTCTCTCTCTCTCTCTCTCTCTCTCTCTCTCTCTCTCTCACACACACACACACACACACACACACACACACACTGCTACCCTCTGCTATGGAAACCTTTCCTCCTAAGCATTTGAGTCCCACAGAAAGGGAGGAGAGAGAGACAGAGAGAGAGGGAGAGAGAGGAGAGAGAGAGAGAGGCTGGTGTCTACTCAACAGGAATTGAGTTTCAGAGAGCCCAGTGAATGCTCCTGGATCTTCAGCGGCTCCGAAAAAGCCCTAAGTTAGGTCTGTACCTTTACAGTTTTTAACATGTCTGTGGTGAGAAGCGCCAGGTAGCACTAAATGTTGAGCGTGTGGGGTAATGGGGTCCCTGGAAGTCTATGGGGAGCAGCTGTGTGTGGTCACACCCTGATCTAAGGCCTTCATTGGCCCCTTTCCCTCAGCTCACCCTTAGCTCCGTCTCTACCCTCCTGTTTGTTGTCTAGACTCTTCTCTGGTGCCTCTCAACCTGGCGGCTGTCCCACCTGGCCCCTCTAGTGGCCTCTTGACGCAAATGCTTTTGATTTCTCCTTAGAGAGCATTAGCCCATTTCATGGTTTGAAACACGGAGGCCGGCTCCCAGGAGCAAAACCAGCATCATAGACACCCCGTCTGGGAAGGGTGCAGTGAGGGCTTGAGTGTGCCCGCTGACCATCTGTCCTTCCTTGCAGCCCTGCTGTCCTCCTGGTGTGAAGAACTTGGCCGCCTGCTGTTGCTCCGACATCAGAAGAGCCGCCAGAACGACCCCCCTGGGAAACTCCCCATGCAGCCCCCCCTCAACTCCATGAGCTCCATGAAACCCACTCTGTCGCACAGGTAAGCATGCAGGTGCCTGCAGAGATGGGCCATCTGGGCAGCTATTGAGCAGCTTGGAAACCTCCTGTGGTGCAAGCCCTGAGACTGTGGCCTCTCAGGCAGTTTGGGCTTTAAATCCTCCTAAATGATGTAGCTTCTTCCCCATCAGACATGGCTGGGTTTTCCCCACCTGCCACTTTGTCCTTGAGATCCCTGGCTTCTAGTAGAGCGTTGGGGATAATGAACTCAGAGCCTGCCCTCTACCCAGAGCAAGCACTTGGGCACTCTCAGGGAAACCAAGGGCAAGTAGGGTCTCAGGACGCCCCCCAGGGCTAGTGGTCACACCCCAGGGTGAGACAGAACCAGGCCACACCCATCATACCGAAGCAAGTGCAACTGGGTTGGGGCTGCCAGAACCCTGGATCCTAGGCAGGAACAGGCTTGCTAGGGTGTGTGCCAAGTACCTAGGAACTGGCCAGGCTGCCCTGCACCAGCCTCGGGAGAGCACATGGTAAGACTGGCAATTCCCTGTTAATTATCTCGCAGGCGCCTTGCTGAGCTGATGCTCTGAGTATTCTGTGGGCTGACCCTGCAACAACAGGGCCCGTCATGCTGTCTGCACCCCCCTCCCTCTTGTGGGTCCTCGTTAATGACCGGGGCCTCTGCAGTCAGCTCAGCTCTCATTATCCTGCCTGGCGGAGAGACTCGCAGCCCAGAACATGCTGTATGTAGTCAATCCTGAACTGCACGGTCCAGGCACTGCCAGCACTCAGGGTCAACCTTGTCTTCTAAATCGAATTAACTGTCAGGACCAGAGAGGACCTCAGCATTCATCAAACAAAGCAAGTACCCTGCCTGGCCAGGACGGCCCAGCTATGTGTTTGCCTGCCATTTCAGAGCACAGCAAGTCCCTCTCATCCAGGACACTGCCTCATCAGCCCCCCAGGCCCATGCCCTGACAGGACAGCCTCTTGTTTCCCAAGGGGTTCCTACTTGGCCTGGGTAGCTGTATGCAGTGGGAGTCTTATAAGGTGTTTAGCATCATGGGCCCTGCCTACCTTTTCTGATGACTGCCCCCCCCCATCCCCATCCCCAAGCATTGCAGCAGCAAGAACACCCAACGCATTTGCGAGAGTCAGGGGGATGTCACCTTAGTTGAGAACCATTGCTCTAGAGAGGTAAACCTGCTTCCTTCTGCCTTCCACCCCTTATCCCTGTCAGTGAATAGGACTTTGGCATTTGATCTGATGATATTTTAGCTTGGCCGTTTCGTTTGGTGTTTGGGGGGGCAGAATCTCCCTCTGTGGCATAGGCTGATCTTCAACTCCTGATCTCCTGACTCAGTCTTTTAGTGCTAAGATTATAGGGTTGTGTGTGTGTGTGTGTGTGAGAGAGAGAGAGAGAGAGAGAGAGAGAGAGAGAGAGAGAGAGAGAGAGAGAGAGAGAGAGAGAGAGAGATCTCCAACTCCTGATCCTCCTGATTCAGCTTCCTAGTGCTAGGATTATAGGTGTGTGTGTGTGTGTGTGTTGCTAATTCTGCCCAGCCCCTCAGCTTTTCAGAACCATCCTGACTCTCCTCCCCACCCCCATTAACATGCCCCTCCCAACTTTCTTTCCCTAAGTCATTTCACTGGAGGCGATGGTAATGAGCCAAAGTACTGTGGCTTCCCAGGAGAATCCTGTCTCAAACCCACTTGGCCCTGGAGTGCGACAGGTTCTGACCACTGCCAGTCCTTTGCTAGGCCTCCGTCAAGTTGAGTTCCTATGGATTATTTGTCATTAAACAAAGGCTGGGAGGCTGAATCTACCAGCAGAGGAGGAAGCTTCTTGGGGGCAAAATTAGGAACTGGTAGGTGAAGGCAAAACCTGGGTCCTAAGAGAGTAGGTCAGGCTGACTGTTGGTGGCTTCTTAAAGGTAAGTTATCTTGACCAGGGAGCATCAAGGCTGAGGAAGGGCCACCTACATTCTGTGACCTCAAACTGGCTATACCTAAAAGTGCTGTGTGTGAAAAGCCACTGGCCAGCACCCAAGGTCCTGCTATTTCTCCTACCATGACAGGTTCAGGGCCTTAAAAGTCCCGTGGGATAATGGACCATGCAAAGCAAGTGGCCTGAAAGTTTAAAGACCTAGGTAGCATGTAGTCTGTGGCTTCTGTGTGGCCTTTCAGAGACAAGGCTGGGGAGCTGGGGACTTGCTGGGTCGAATTGATCGGGGTTGAGCCTGACCTGTTGAACTGAGTGAAGGTTCCTTTAGCATAGCAAGGGTTACAGAACTTGGAAACTAAAGCCTGGCTGGCTGAGAGCGGGAAAGTGAGTTCCCAAGAAACACAGCGGATAGAGATGAATCAGGGCACAGAAACAAGGGTTGTGTAGTAGTAGTTGCTGATTTTGAGGGTTCTGGAGCAGTCTGTGCCCCTGCTCTGATCCCCTAGGAAATTGCCACAATGCTGCCACATTGCGGTGGGGCAACTGTTGGACAATGGCCAGTCCCCGACTCTTCTTCAGGCCCAGGACTGTCGTGAGGATGGATACTCAGTGACCTCTGACCAGAAGCTGACTGGCCTTTCCCTGTCACCTTCATTCATGTCCCTGTGGGAGAGATCTCTCATTTTCAGGGGAGCTATGGAGGACCCCCAACACCTGTTAAGCCTCTAGTATACATTCCTAACCATGGAAGCTTAGTGGAAGAGAGAGAGCCTTTGCAACTGCAACCCTGACTCTGGCATCTTCAAATGGGGCTTTGGCCTTCTTGTTAAGGGTGGAGCTCAGTAATATACACTAGGACACCTGGAGCGTAGTACCCAGAGGATCCAGGGGTTCAGAGACTCTGGGTCCTCAACTATAAAGGCTCTAAAACAAGCAGAGGGGAGGAACCTTGCCTGAACCCAGAATGGGGGGCCCTGAGGATTGAAGTATTTCTGTGGCTCAAGTCACTGCCAACCATGAAGATGTGGCGGCAAGTTAGAGCCCAAGTTCTTTCCCCTTGGGCTATGTCTCCAGCCAAAGCCCTTGACCTCTCTGAGATCCTGAGGTCCCAAAGAGACGAGATGCTGCCCATCACCTTGCGAAAGATGCTGGGAGGAACCAGGCTGCTCCTCCCAAGGCGCTTTGTAAGAGTAACTGTGACCTTGTGAAGAATGTGAACTAACTGTAGCTTGTAAAACATCTTCAGCTCCTGTTTTAGTTTCGACATTGGCCATACCAAGGTCATCTTGCACTTAGCAAAGAGACACAGAAGCATATTACGTGCCTCTCCTCCACCCCCCCACACCCCACACCCCATAACCCCGAGATGGAAGCTGGGAGGCACCTAGAGGATCTAGCCATTGCCGGGGCGGAAGGGCACCTTCGGCATCCCTGAGGTGATCCTGACTTTATCCCAGCAACTTCTGCTTCCTCACCCAGGTTTTTAATGAGTGGTTTAAAAAGCCGTTTGTGATTAGCACATTTTCTGTATGCAAATGGGTGCTGCAAAGCTAATTAAGAGTCTAATAAATCTTGTTTATCTATTAATTTGATTACAATCATAAGCTGCCGGAGCTTCGGAGATCAAGGGTGATCTCGCTCCTCCTCCAGGAACAGGGATTTGCTACATCAGAAGAGAGGCTCTGGTGTGCTGGGTAGGGCCGTGGCTTGGAGTCAGGTTACTGTCTTCTTGTTGTAAGTCTGGGAATCAGCCTCTCTGAGTCTCAGCTCTTCCTCAGCTGCAGGAAGGATAGCAGGACCAAGTCTGGTACATGGGGATCCCCGGAGATTTGTGTGTGTGTGTGTGTCCCCCACCCAAACTGTAGCCCAGTATCCTCTTGACAGGCTCTTTGTTGCCAGCTAATAACAGATAAATGAAAACGGCCCCTTTAGAGCAGGGGGTGTGGACCTGTGGTAGGGTGCTTATTTTGCATACCCAAGGCCTTATTTTCAGTCGCCAGTCCTACAGAAAGCAAAATCAAAGGTACTAGCAATGCACCAGTAATCCCAACACAGCGACGCAAATCCAAGGCCAGCCTGAGCTACCTAGTGAGACCCTGTCTCGAAACAAAAGGAAAAAAAATAAGTCAACTATTATGTGGAGTTCTTTTTTGCCTGTACCAGCCCCTGCTGGAAGTAGGCTCTTCTTGGCCCTAGAAAACTGGTTTTCTAAAAGGGTCATTGAGAAAGCCCCGTAGACAAAGCCTGACAGCTAGCGTTTGATCTCTTGGGACCAACATAGTGGAAGGAGAGAATCGACTCCCACAAGTTATCCTCTGACCTCCACATGTATACTGTAACCCTGACTGTCATGGAACTCGCTATGCAGACCAGGCTGGCCTTGAACCTACAGAAATCTACCTGCCTCTGCCTCCTGAGTGCTGGGATTAAAGCTGTATACCACCGCACTCAGTACTCTCCCAACTGAGCTCCACCCCCATTTGTCCCTGTGGTCTGCTCCCTCACGCTGACTGGGCATCAGGACCCGCTCCTGTACTTGGGGATGCATGAGGGTATGCTCTCAATCTCTTCTCAGAAATGGGAGTGCAGGAACCTGCCTCCAAGGAGACCTGTGGGGCTGAGCTAGTGAGGGGCGTGTCCAGAACCGCTTCCCAGGTTGACCGCTACCTGACTGGACAGCGGGGTCCAGAACAGCTTGAGGTGGAGCCAATCTGTGACAGCCAGTTAGAGCCTAAGTTCTTTCCCCTTGGGCTATGCTGTGTCTCCAGCTGAAGCCCTTGACCTCTCTGAGATCCTCAGGTCCCAAAGAGACGAGATGCTGCCCATCACCTTGCAAAAGATGCGGGGAGGAACCAGGCTACTCCTCCTAAGGCACTTTGTAAGAGTAACTATGACCTTGTGATGAATGTGAACTAACTGTCCCTTGTAAAACGTCTTCAGCTCCTGTTTTAGTTTCGCCATGAAGGGTGAGAGGAGAGACCACAGAGCTCGGCCACTGTGGCCTAAGAAATGCAGGTGTTTCTCTGCACTGCTTCCCCATGTATAAGGCCTGGCCCGTCGGGTTTGTTGGTTCATTGGCCTTTAATCCACTCTGTCCTACAAACACACTAGATTCTGGAGTAGAGGCTGGGAAGATAGCGATCAAAAGTGCAATAAGGGAGTGGTAAAGCACTGTGAAAAATACTTTTTTTATGCGACGAGAGATGGGAAAGCTTTCCGAGGAGGTGACTTTCCAGAGAAACAAGAAGGAAGCAGATCCAGGGGAGAGGGCGTCACAGATGAGGGCGTTGTGCTTCTCTGGGGCACGGACGATGGGTATGCAGTTTTACTGCTCCCGCTGAGGAAGTGGGGTCACCTGCAGTGGTGCGAGGGACCCTGGCTAGTCTTAAGGCTGTGGCTCACCTTGTCCTTCTCACGCCGCCTTGGCTGGCTGGAAGGCCTCATTGAGTGCTCGCTGTAGACCTCAGACTGGGTTGGAGGAGGTAGATTCCTGGCTTCTGATATGTGTGGACTCCTTGGAAGGAGCTCCTACATAGGTGGCCAGTACAGGGCTGGGGTGAGGAAGTGAGGTGCAGGCTTGGGGATTTTGGACTTTGCCCAGTCAACACTGGAAGCTGATGGTCCTGATTGACTTGTAGGTGAGGGAAGGTCTTAGCCAGGCAGGGATGTGCACAGGACTGGGGGCTTGGGGGGAGGGTAGGGCACCCCGGCAGGCTTTGCTTGCTTGGTCCTGGGCCCCAGAGGAAGGGTGACAGGGTGAACCAAGCCTGAATTCCCAAGACCAGGTCAGTAGGACTCAGCACCTAAGAGTTTTGTTTTATTTTGTTTTTTGTTTGTTTGTTTGTTTTGTTTTGTTTTAGGTTTTTTTCAAGATAGTGTTTCTCTGTGTAGCTTTGGAGCCTGTCCTGGAACTCTCTCAAGCTGACCTTGAACTCACAGAGATCCGCCTGCCTCTGTCTCCCGAGTGCTGGGATTAAATGCGTGCGCCACCACCGCCCGGCTCTCGGCAGCTGGTTTGTCGTGAGGTGCTGAGATCAGGAAGGGCCATGGGTCTCCGTAAAGTGGGACCGGGCTGTCTCTAATGGAGACAACGCCTAGGTCCTGACTGTTTCCGGAGGGTCATGGACAGTCAGCATGCTTGAAGAGAGAGCTTAGCGCGCTCGCTATGATTTCTTCACTGTGGGCCCAGTTACGGGAATGGGTCACTGCTACCTGGTCCATTCCCACGGAAGGTGCGTCTTTTGTTCATCAAAAGTGCTGTCGTAAGCCTGAGTTCCAGGGCTCACCGGGACAAGGGTCAGCCAGGACGGTGAGGTGAAGACACTGTCACCTGAGCCGTGCCCCAGCTCTAAAGGCCTTTTCTCTCTCCGCAGTGATGGGTCATTTCCTTATGACTCTGTCCCTTGGCAGCAGAACACCAATCAGCCTCCCGGCTCCCTCTCTGTGGTCACCACAGTGTGGGGAGTGACCAACACATCCCAGAGTCAGGTAAGAACCCGTCCCACACCCTGCCCATGGCTCCTCCTAGGCACAAGTGTCCCTTATCTCCCTCCCCACCACGGGGGCCGGTGGGGGAACCACGCCATGACAGCCCTCCTCACTGTGTGAATCCAGTTTTAGGACATATTCAGCTGTAGACCACATCACTCCAGGAAGGGGTACACTTTGACCTCAGGAGAGCCACAGCCGGGTCCCTGAGGACCCACCCCCATTGTGTAGGACCTTCTGGGAGACAAAAGGGAGGTTTTCATCTGACAGGCCACAAGTTCTCTTCTGAGACCGTGTTTACTCTGGTTGTGTAAGCAGACTTCCTGTGTGTGACTGACCTCAGGCTCCTAAACTGAAAACCCTTGACCCTGAATGGCCTGGATTAGGTTTTCACCAAGATTGTTACCTTCCAGTAAAGTGTACCTTAACCTTAACCTTAAGCCCCGGTTGCCTTCCTAATCAAGCCTATTTTCATTCTCGTTTCTTCCTCTTTTTCTCTCTCCTCCTCACCCCTGTCCTAACAGAGGGTCTCCCACTGCTGAGCTTGGGCTGGGCCACCCTGGAGGGAGCTATCGTGCTTTCCTGGGATCTCCCTCCACAGACAACCTCTAGGCACCCAGGTCCTATTGCAGAGTTGGGGCTGAGTAGGCTAGTCCTTGCCAGCTGCTACTCAACTGCCTCATGGGCCTCTCTGGAGCCTGGGGGACCGTTTGAGCTGGCTTTGTGAGCCTTTGCCTCGCTCCACCCTGGCTGAAGTTCTCAGCCCACTCCTTTTGATCCCTTTTGGTTCTGGGGGCCGCTCAAGCCACCCCCCCCTACCCCCCCATTCTCCTCTCTGTTGTACCCTCGTGATGTTTCTCTTTGTATCCTTTGTCTTCTCATTACTCTTCCTCCATGCTACCTGAGGTACTGAACCTCAGTGAGAACCACTCACTCTCTCTGCCTCCCTCTCTGCTTGCAGGTCCTCGGGAACCCTATGGCCAATGCCAACAACCCTATGAATCCAGGTGGCAACCCCATGGCATCAGGCATGAGCACCAGCAATCCCGGCCTCAACTCCCCGCAGTTTGCGGGGCAGCAGCAACAATTCTCCACCAAAGCTGGCCCTGCACAGCCCTATATCCAGCCCAACATGTATGGCCGGCCTGGCTACCCTGGTAGCGGGGGGCTTCGGAGCCAGGTGAGTGACCAGTCTCCTGTCCTTCTGCAGTGGTGTGTTAGACGCGCCTTCCTGCATACACCCAGAAAGGACTCTGACTTGAATCCCAGCTCCACGTTGCCTGGTCTGGGATATGAGGACAGCGTTGACGTGTGTCTTATCAGGCTGGCATCAGTCCTGGGGCAGGGGGGGTGTGGGGGCCGTAAGAAAGGCTACACTTACCCTTCCTTCTTAGCCTTGTGTCTTTATGAATTGCAAGTCAGTGGGGGTGAATTGTCAGAACTGAGGAGTAGTGACAGTGGACTCCACTTGTCCAAACTGCTTAATCTTTTTGCCCCTCCTACCTGTAGAGGAAAGACAGAAATGGGGACTAGAGTCCCCAACCTTCAGACTGCATCAAGGAAAGAGCAGGAAGCGGGCAAGCCGCCGTCACCATCTAAGCCACCTTGACCTCAGCCCACCTAGCTCTAGGGACAGAGTTACTGGGCTTCTGGCCTTGTGGTCCAAAACAAGCGCCGCACTCCTGAACCCATTCCCACAGCTCTGCCACACAGCACCATACAATTTCTCTGGGTCAGTTCCCTGGCAGCCCAGGGAAAGGAGAGAGGCTATGGAAACCTCACTTCACAGTGAAAAAAAAATCCCAAGGAACAAGTTGACCTAGTTATCGCCAACGGCGGCAGGAATGGCTGCCAGCTTTGGGAGTCCCAGACCCCCCTTCGGGGCATCACACCCGCAAGCTGGGTGCTCCGGAGTGCATGGGTGTTTCAGGAGTTCCAGATCCCCTGTGGGGCATCACACCCACAAGCTGGGTGCGCAGAGTGCATGGGTGCAACCCTGTGGCCGTCCTCCCAGCTTCGAGCTTTACATCTGAGTACTCTCTGACCCCTCCCTGCTTCTCCTCTCCTCCACAGTTACCCTGGGGGTCCCAGTGCCCCTGCAGGCATGGGCATCCCTCCACACACCCGGCCTCCTGCTGATTTCACCCAGCCAGCTGCTGCTGCTGCAGCAGCTGCGGTAGCAGCCGCCGCCGCCACAGCCACCGCCACGGCCACGGCTACAGTGGCAGCCTTGCAAGAGACACAGAACAAGGAAATAAACCAGTATGGACCGGTAAGGGTTCCTGCCTCCTGGTCTGGCCTCACCCAGACTGGGGAAATCTTGAGTGTGGGCCAAGTGCGTCAACTTGGAAGCTCCTGAAAGGATGGATGTGAGGGTGTGGGTGTGGCGTCATGGTTGGGTGTGGCAGGGGTTTTTGTTGTTGTTGTTTTGTTTGTTTGTTTTGTTTTGTTTTTGGTGTGCTATGTTCTGTGTGGGATGGTAGCTCGTGTGTGCCTATGGGGGAGAGAGGTATCCTGTTGCTCTCTGAGTTCCTGGTTACCCAACAGTGGGCTCTGTGCCTAAAATCACTTTGCTACTAGCCTGTCCCCAATCACCTCTGAGGCCACTACTGTCCTATTAACCTACTTTGTGGGTTTTGCCCAGGCCTCCTCATAGATCCTCTGACCTTCAGAAGGATGAGGTGGGGTGTAAGAAGGGGGAGCCCACAACTGTGAAGGGCAGAAGTGTGGTACAGGGTGGGCAGGAAGAAGTTGGCTGGGTTAGTCACACTCAGTGTATGGAGGGTGTGTGTCTCCATTGGCCACTGGCCAAGGGCAAGGTCAGGGCCTTTCAGGAAAGGGCTTCAGCCTCCATCCTCATCCGCCTCCTCTTCCTGTGCCCTCCCCGTGGCCCTCCCACCCCTGCCCTCTTCCCTGTCCCCTGCCTGCCTCCCTGGGAATGCTGCCTGTGCATTGGAGTGGCTGCTCCTTGCCCTACCCAAACCTCCAGCTGCATTTTCCCAAGAGACCTGCAGAGGGCAGCAGTGAGCCCCGGAGGACTGGGTCCTAGAGCTGCAGCCACTTGGGAAAGTGTCCCTTCTCCCCTAGCCTGCCCCCCCCCCAACCTTCCCTCCCTGCACTTTCAATGCATGTGGTATTTTATTCTTTTTTTTCTTCTTCTCCCGTTGAAGGTGTGTTCCTCTTTCCAGATGGGTCCCACCCAGGCGTATAACAGCCAATTCATGAACCAACCCGGGCCTCGGGGGCCTGCCTCCATGGGGGGGCAGCATGAACCCTGCCAGCATGGCAGCTGGCATGACACCCTCGGGGATGAGCGGCCCTCCCATGGGCATGAACCAGCCCCGACCGCCTGGCATCAGCCCCTTTGGCACACACGGGCAAAGGATGCCCCAGCAGACCTACCCAGGCCCCCGGCCCCAGTCCCTTCCTATTCAGAGCATAAAGAGGCCGTATCCAGGGGAGGTAAGTGTGACAACAGATGAGGGATGGGACATGAAGGGGGCACTGACACAGGGACCATGGGCAGAGCCCCGGAAAGGGCTCAGTTTGGCCACCGGAGAACTTGAACTAAAAGTGGGGACCTCAGCTCATGACTAATGTCATTACTATTGTGGAAGGACCCCCCCACACACACACACACACACAGCGAGTAACAACACCCAAGTCTCAGGTTTTTGTTTGGTTTTTTTTTACCATTGACTATCCACTGTGACATTGTAAAACGCCATGCCTAGAGCAGGCAAGTGTCAGCGGAGCAGGAACCATGACGGCTGTTCACTCCTGCCTAGGCCCAGGTACAAACTGGATGACTCTGGGTGAGGACCTCCATGCAGAGCGCAAGGGCTGCCGCCAGACATCCCTGGGCAGGCAGGACATCCCTGGGGGCTCACTTCCATCAGAGTTGCTCTGCTGGGAGTAGTGCCTACTCTGAGGTCACCCAGCGGAGGTGCCAGTGGAACCCATCCCCAGCAGACTGTCCCAATCTCCCTGTCAGGTCAGGGAAGGGGGTGGGGGAGAAAGGTTGTCACCAGGCCTCAGTGACACTCAGAGAACAACTGGGCGGCACAGAGACCAGGATCCTGGCCCCGCAGATGCCCCACCCGCAATGAAGCTTGTCATCGGCACACCCTGTGATGCCCCTTCCTGAGCATGGCACCCCAGCTCCCCCATCCCTTCTCAGCTCAGATCCTTCCAGCTGGTCCAGACTGCCGCCTTCCCCTTGAACTGAAGCAGATTTCTGTCCCAAAGAGCATAAGTTCTCTGTGTGTCTGTCCCCCACCCTGTCCCGTCCCCCCCCCCGCCAACACACACACACACACACAGGTCCCTACAGCAGCCACTCTCACAAGAGAGGGCATGGTGTGATAACTGGTATAGGTGTCCCAATCCGGAGGCTCAAGAAGAATAGGGGGACTGGGTGCTTCCCATACACCCAGGAGGCTGACTCAAGCCCTAAGCCTCGGCCTAGTGGGAACTACTAGTTCAGGGAGAGAAATCCAAAGGCCCATGGGACGACCCCACCCCACTCCCAGCCCTGGCTGCCCTTGCTTGGGTGGGGGCCTTAAACCAATGGCTCCAGAGTACAGTGGTTTTTCTCAGCACCCTCTGCCCTCAACTTCCTGATACGCCATCGGCTACACTGGGCATGCATATTTTCTGAGCTTTGGGCTGCTGCCCTGAGATGAGGCCTCAGAACTGCTTATTGAGAGCACAAACACACACAAACACACACCATAGAAGTCGAGCTCTCCACAAAGCACCGTTGCTCCCCAGCTGGTCCCGGTTATAATGCTGGGTGGTCCCTGTCTGGGAGCTCTGGCTTCTACCTCTTGGCAACATGCTCATCCTATGTTAAGAAGTAGTGTAGCCTTAGTGCAGGCTGGAGTCATGTTATCTGGCCCCCTGTTGTGCTGCTGTAGCCTGATGAGCCGTGCTGGTGACCCAGAGCAGCTGATGTGCCCCCGTAGTGAGAGTCTTGGAGAGTTCCCAAGTACTGCCCACTCTGATGTGTACTTCCAGGCACTGGAGCGCTGCCGCCAGCTAGATTTGAGCCTAGAAGATGAGGCACCCTTAGGCAGAGAATAGTCTTGAGTAGGCAGGAAAGGAACCATTGAATTCAGGGTTCCATGTCCTGGGTACCGACGTTACAGGTAGCCCTGGATCATCCACTGGCCCCAGATAGGGAAAGGTGGCAGGAAGTGGCTGTCTCCTTTGTGAATCACCTCTCTAGGAGGTGCCTTGCTCTCCCTCATTGACTAGTTCTCCCACAGCTGTATAGAGAGAGGGTTGACACTGCTAAGAATGGAAACATTCGGTGGATGTTTTTTTTTTTTTTTTTTGCTCAATGTGGAACACAGGGGCGGTGCTACTGCAGGGGTTGTCGCTTCTTGGAAGCAAATTCTGTAACCTGCATCTGCCTGACACACTGGGGTGCACACATGACGGGGAACACAGCCCTAGAGGGGAGACAAGCATTGAGAGAAACAAAAGAGTGCCGAGACGCCCTGGGCATCCGTGGGATTTTGAGTGTACAGGCTTCCAGAGCAATAGTTTCATGGAGAGAGGTGGCCTATGATCTGGGTGGGCAGAGTGTCCTGTCCCGGGATGTCAGAGCAAGCAGAGGCTTCCAATACCTTCTGACATGGTGCCCATACATGTATGTGGGAAACACATGTTTTAAAATAAGAAAAAAAAAGCTGAACCCAGCCCTGGCGTTTGAGTACGTAGTCTGCTTGATGGCACGTCACCCCTGACCTCCCTCTGTCCTTTTCCCATCTTACAGCCCAACTATGGAAACCAGCAATATGGACCAAACAGCCAGTTCCCCACCCAGCCAGGCCAGTACCCCACTCCCAACCCCCCAAGGCCGCTCACATCTCCCAACTACCCCGGACAAAGGATGCCAAGCCAACCCAGCACTGGGCAGTACCCACCCCCCACGGTCAACATGGGGCAGTATTACAAGGTGAGTACTGGACCCTCAAGAAGACCCTACGTAGAACCCTCCTCCCTAGCACAGTCATGTCTCTAAAGGGGGTCAGGCCATGGGACTGTCCTGCCCTCCACTCATTTCTGTTTTGTTTCAACAGCCAGAACAGTTTAATGGGCAGAACAACACCTTCTCTGGAAGCAGCTACAGCAGTTATAGCCAAGGGAGCGTCAACAGGGTGAGCATTATTCCAGAAAGTCCAGCTGACCCTCGCTTAGCGGGTGTCAGCAGGCTCCCACGCTCCTTACCTTCCTGCCCCAGCACCTCTGCGTGTTTTTAGGGGTCCACGGGTGGAGGGTGCACTTCCTGGTTGTCCGCTGAGACATACTCGGGGACCTAGAGTCCACCGCTCTACTGGGTGAAGAAGGACAAGCATGGGCCCTACAGAAAACCAGACAGAGAAAGGATCCTGGAGACGGGACCCTCCCCCCTCTCCCCGCCCCAAGCAGGGCCAGGGACTAGGGACTAGAGTCACCATGTGGGGTGGCCACCTGCCCTTTCCTCCTGATGTAGGTTAGACATGTCACTAGCACACTGAGCCTGTGTGTCCCCTTTGACACCTGGCTATGGGAACCTGACCTGAGGAGCCTAACAAAGCAGGCTTTGCTAAGGGATGGGGTCCTTCCCAGTTCTTGCTGTCCTCCAAAGGGGGCGGGATCCTGCAGGTGAGCGTGGTCTCTGGTGACTCGCCTCCCTTGGGGTGAGGACTTTGGTGCAGATAGTGGAGTGCATGTCCACCACCTTGACCCATCCATTACCTTTCTGTGAGTCCGTAATCTATTTCTGATATCTTTTTCCAGCCTCCCAGGCCGGTTCCTGTGGCAAATTACCCCCACTCACCTGTTCCAGGGAACCCCACACCCCCCATGACTCCCGGGAGCAGCATACCTCCCTACCTGTCCCCCAGCCAAGATGTCAAGCCGCCCTTCCCACCTGACATCAAGCCAAATATGAGCGCTCTGCCACCACCCCCAGGTGAGGACCCCGTACTCTCCATTCCTCCTTAGTTGGTTCTGTCTGGAAGCCCCCAGTGAGCAGGATCAGGGGGCTCAGAAGCTGGGCTCCCTGGGGTAAGAGTTACGGCAGGATGACTGACAGCACCTCTGCGTGTTTTTAGGGGTCCACGGGTGGAGGGTGCACTTCCTGGTTGTCCGCTGAGACATACTCGGGGACCTAGAGTCCACCGCTCTACTGGGTGACGAAGGACAAGCATGGGCCCCCCTCCCTGGAACATTTGGTGTGGGGGCTGGACTCTCCATAGCCATCCTCTCCCCTGGCCAGCAGGAAGAGCCTGGGTCTTCAGGGACAGAGAGACCAGTGGGAGAAATGGGACTGCATAGTGGGGTGAGCCAGCTCAGCTGGAGGAAGCCACAGACTCAGTCATGCGCTTGGCCCACATTTGGGCTCTTTGAGCATGCTTCCCGAGGTGATGTCACATGGGGTAGTGAGTCCCACTCCGGCCCCCCGCACCTATAAAGCTGGGGTGCTTGCGACTCAATACGGTCCTTGTCTTTGCCCAGCCAACCACAACGATGAGCTGCGGCTCACTTTCCCCGTGCGGGATGGCGTGGTTCTGGAGCCCTTCCGCCTGGAGCACAACCTGGCCGTCAGCAACCATGTGTTCCACCTGCGGCCCACGGTTCACCAGACGCTCATGTGGAGGTGAGGTGACCTGCGTGGTGACTGCCTTGCACAGGCGCTGGCAGCAGCTTCCCGTCACTGTCAACCCCTTCAGCACCCCTGATAGGGCCGTGCCGTGTGCAAAGCTCCCCGGGGGTGTCACAAGGAGAGGGACCAAGCGTCAACGGCTAGGAACAGCTGTTACCCGAGTCCTACGTGCTGGCAGGACTTTCCGGAGGATGGGGAGGCTAGCAGAGCCCTAAAGACTAGGAAATGGGTATCTCATCAAGGGGATGAGTTAGCAAAGGGGAAAAAAAAAATGTCAACCTGAACCCATGTGGCTCCTGTTGCCGGAGCGGCCAGTGTGAAGAGAAGAGGTTGTTGGGAACAGCAAGCAGAGCTGCCCACTCTCTGTAGATTGCAAGACCACCGGCCACTGTCTGGTACTGCCCTCCCTTAGGGTTGTGGTCAAGCGCATGGGCCAGACTCTGTGCTCGACCTCCGAGACCTCAAAGTAGGCAATGCTTTTCCTTTTGATTGAAGGGGAAACCGAGGGTAGAGGAGTCTTTTAAAGAATGAAAGTTCTCAAAGCGAGAAGTAAAGCTATGATTTGAACTGGCAGCTTCTAGATTCTAAAAACTCCTCCTGGATCTTTGGTTATCAAGCCAGATTCACCCAAGGCCTGGCATAGAGCCCCATCCCTACCACCCCAGCCGTTTAGTGAGCATCCTCGGGGCAGGAAGTGGGCCTCTGCTCCCAGCGTGTTTGTAATCGCATAGCTTTGGGCAGCCAGTGAACTGTCACAGGCAAAACTGGGTAGGCATTCAGGACATATAGTGAGATACTAAGACAGGAAGTCCCGAGGCTTCGGAGCACACAGACAAACACGGGTCAGAGACACTGATCCTGACACCACCTGGAGATGTCCTCAGTCCTTCTGAGTCTGTCTGAGGGAAGAAGCGTCACTCTTAGGCGGATAGGGTAGCCAGGGCTATGGGTGTGGCTGTAGTAATGTACGATATGGAAATGAAAGGGCTTGGGATTCTCTGATGCATTTGGATTAGTAGGAAGGTAAAATCTCTAGGACAGTGGTTCTCAACCTGTAGGTCCTGACCCCTTTGGGGCTATATTATCAGATATCCTGCCTATCAGATATCTACATTACAATCCATAATAGTAGCAAAATTACAGTTACAAAGCAGCAATGAAATAATTTTATGGTGGGGGGGTCACCACAACGTGAGTACCTGAAGAACAGGGTTAGCAGCATTAGAAAGGTTGAGAGCCACGGCTCTGGGCAGGGGAAGGGCTGCGGCCGAGGGGTAGGGTCCCCGTGCCCTCAGGATGACGGTGCCCACCCTGCCGCCTCCCCAGGTCAGACCTGGAGCTGCAGTTCAAGTGCTACCACCACGAGGACCGGCAGATGAACACCAACTGGCCGGCCTCGGTGCAGGTCAGCGTCAACGCCACGCCGCTCACCATCGAGCGAGGGGACAACAAGACCTCCCACAAGCCCCTGCACCTCAAGCATGTGTGCCAGCCGGGCCGAAACACCATCCAGATCACCGTCACCGCCTGCTGCTGTGTGAGTACAGTGGGCAGCCAGGACTGGGAGCGCATCTCGGCCTCCGTTGGGTCCCAAGGCATCCCCAAAGCGATCTGTGCTGCTGCGCCCTGGCCGTTTCTGTCAGACTCGGTCGCTTCCCCTTTCTGCCTCCCCTGGGGATTCCACACATCTCCCCTTTATCCCTTGGTGCCACCCCCAGGCACGAGCACCCTTGTTTCCAATGGCCGGGCCCAAAGCTGGGTTCGATTTCTGGTCTCGTTTAGAGTGAAATTTTCCTATTCCCACCACCTTTCCCCCAGACCCACCACCTCTGCTTAGTGCGGCGTTAAACCAATTCCTGTTGTATTTTGGGGGCCGTGGGGAGGACACACACCCGTCTACTCCCACGTGTGCACACGCGTGGACACAGACACAGGCACATGTGCACATCCCTGCAACGCCCATGCCTCAGAACTCTCCTCCTGTCCCTAGAAATCAGCAGCTGGGACACGGGACTTCCCTGGGATTCTGGGATGGGGATGCTTCGTGAGACTGCACAGCTGTAGCGTGAAAGAGTCGGGGTGCACAGTCCTAGAAGGCTTCCTAGAGGGGAGATGACAGGGATGGGCCTACTCGACAAGCAGGATGGGAAGTTAGGTCAGGATAACAGGAATATGCTCGAGTCGAGGCCTGATGCCACGCATGCTGTAACCTCAGCCAGGAGGCTACCCAGTGGAAAACCCACCACGTTAGCCTGGATCATAAAGACAAGTCATTGCAGAGGCCCAGCCTCTCCATCCTTAGCCTCATTCTGATTTCCAAGCCTCTGTGTCTCAGGTCTCTTCCTAGAGAGGCACCACTGAAGTCCTGCAGGCCCTTGGGCATGGGGCAGCCTGGGTCACGTACGCTGCAGTTAAAGGCAAGGATGGGAACTGTGGGCCACACTGAGTCTCCTGCTCTCTCTCTCCTCTCTCTCTGCAGTCCCACCTCTTCGTGCTGCAGCTGGTGCACCGGCCCTCTGTGCGCTCCGTGCTGCAGGGCCTCCTCAAGAAGCGCCTGCTGCCCGCTGAGCACTGTATCACCAAGAGTGAGTGGGGCAGGCGGGGACGGGCGGGGAGGGGCTGGGCCCAAGAGGTGGTAATGCCCAGGATGCCAAGCCCCCCGGAGCACCTCTTGTGGGATGTACTGCCCCTCTCTTCCCTATGGCTCTGTTCCCCCCTCGAGCCCTCCTTCTTGGACACACTTGCAGAACTAAGTGTGAAAGTGCCTGAGGGGGCTTTTGCTGACCCAGTTAAATCAGAGGAGCACCAGGCTGGGTTTCCGCAAGCCTTGCAAGATAGCCCCTGTTCCTAGTGAGGGTAGGGGGCCTGATCTTCAGAAAAGGGAGTCTCCTCCATCCTTTCTCCCCTCAACATGCATCCCCATGTGGAATGCAGGGGTGGGGAATCCAGGGCATGTTCAGGAGCTTGCTTAGACCCAACCCTCAGCAGAACACCCGGCCCTCACCCTGCGCCTCCCTACCCCCACAGTCAAGCGGAATTTCAGCAGTGTGGCCGCCTCCTCGGGCAACACAACTCTCAACGGGGAGGATGGTGTGGAGCAGACAGCCATCAAGGTGTCTCTGAAGTGCCCCATCACATTCCGGCGCATACAGCTGCCTGCCCGGGGCCACGACTGCAAACATGTTCAGGTGAGCAGTCCCCGGGAGGTCCTCTGAGACAGGCTGCACGGGTTGGCAAGGCGACAAGGGGGCAGGCTATGGGGTCAATAGGGACATCGTGGCCATTTGGCAGCCGATATCACTTGCTCTCTCAATCATCCTTTTCCTTCGGGTCCATCTCTGGGGTCCTGGTGGTGGTGGTGCAGAAATACAGTTAGCCAATCAGATATGAAAGGCCCTGGCTAGACACCCCCAGACTAGCTAGGGGCCTGCCATGAGCAGGTTTTCAGGAAGGGGGCAATCTCAGGCCAGCAAAGACCCATTGTGCAGGGGGCTGCCCAGGGCGTATGTCCCAGAACCAGGGCTGCAAAGATCCCAGGGCCCTGGTGCACCGTTTTCTACAGTTCATCCTGGAGCTGAGTGCAGACAGGACTGCCCCCCTCTGAGTGTGTAGCTGTTGACAAGTGATGTGATTGCTTTATCTGACCCAGTCAATCAGATTCACCCTGGGTCCCCAGGCTGCACTAAAAGGACTGCCAGAGGCCATACCGTTCCTGGCCTCAGTAAGAGACGGAGGCAGCCAGAATTGGATAGGGTGCAGGCTCCACGGGGGCTTCAAGGACAGGGAGGGCTGCTGTATAGAAGCGGTAGACACAGCATGCGTGTTCATACTGTGGGGTGAACAACAGAAGGGTTCTTCCCGGGAACTGGTCTTCCTACGGGTCCAGAGCCAAGGCGAGGCATCTCCCCGATGGTCCTTGATCGTACCTAACTTCTGACTCCTGCTTCCACAGTGCTTTGACCTGGAGTCATACCTCCAGCTGAATTGTGAGCGAGGGACCTGGAGGTGTCCTGTGTGCAAGTAAGCGATACCCACCTTCTAGGAGCTCTAAGCTGCTCTACCTACCCTTCGGGGCCCCTACAGGCGTGGGTCTTGGGTTGCATCTGCTTATAGCACCTGGACCAGGAGTGGCAGGACGGTGGAGATGGGTGGGCTGTGCCCTGCCCACGGGAGCAAAAACACGAAACCTTGTTCTTCCTTTCCAGTAAAACAGCCCTGCTGGAGGGTCTAGAGGTGGATCAGTATATGTGGGGCATCCTGAACGCCATCCAACAGTAAGTGACGCCCCCACTAGAGGGGGGGGTACAGCCTGGCTTGGGAGGGGGGATGGGGGAATGCAGACAGTCCTGGGTACTACCTGGCCTTGGGAATTCCTGGACTTGGGGGGTCAGTATGTTCAAGAAGGGATAGAACTTAGCCCACGTAAGAATTCCTCTTTTGTTTTTTTTAGGGGGGGGGAGTGGGTCTTGGGGCCAGGAGCCCCAGCCTCTGTTTTTCTAAGCCTCGGTATCCTCATTTCACCAAACAAGATGCGAACACCTTTACCAGGCCTCCGCCTGTGCACAGCTCTGACACAGGAAGAGTGTAGACGTGGGGGGGGGGGGTCTTGTCTCCAAAGCTAGGGACTCTAAGCCTCACTTCCGCCACCCCCCCCATTGCTACCCACCAGCTCCGAGTTTGAAGAGGTCACCATTGACCCCACGTGCAGCTGGCGGCCAGTGCCCATCAAGTCGGACCTCCACATCAAGGACGACCCTGATGGCATCCCCTCAAAGCGGTTCAAAACCATGAGCCCCAGCCAGATGATCATGCCCAACGTCATGGAGATGATCGCTGCTCTGGGCCCTGGCCCATCTCCCTACCCCCTTCCTCCTCCTCCTGGGGGCACCAGTTCCAACGACTACAGCAGCCAAGGTGTGCAGTGTGAACGCTGGGCGGGTACAGGGAGAGGAGGGAGAAGGGGTCAGCCTGGGTCCCTCGGGGAGTTGGGATATCTGTGTTGATGGTAGAGGTGCAGAGCGGGAGAAATGATTCCGTGGTTAAAAAGAGCACTGTTGCCCTTGCGGAGGGCCTGGCTTCAGTTCCCAGAACCTGCATAGTGTCTCACAGCCTACCATAACTCCAGTTTAAAGGGATCTAATGCTCTCTTCTGAACTCTGCCTGCACCAGGCACACACAAGGAACACGTACATACATACATACATACATACATACATACATACATACATACATCATACATACATACATACATACATACATACATGCAGGTGAAACATTCCACTCATACACATAAAAAAACTTAAAAATAAAAGAGAGAGGCAGAGTGTACACGCCCTCCAAAAAATAGTCCTAGACTCGAGGAATAATGATCCAAGCCCAAACATTTCACAGCCTCTCTGCCAGCTCATTGGTCGGCCTTCCCCACCCTCCCAGAGAGCCTAGGCCCCCGGAGGCCTAGCCTTTGCTTGCCCAGGCCACCGTCTCTCCGTCTCACTCTCAACACCTCCAAACTTCAGACAACACCCCTGCCGCCTTCCACTCAGTTCCTAGAAAACAGCCCACCCTCTCTGCCTGAGGATGGTGGCCCTGTCACTCAGATCTGTGATCTGAGGTCTTTAGGGTGGCCCAGGTGACTAGCATTCTGACACCATCTCTCGCCATCACCAAGGGGTGTGGGATACAGTGTCTGGAGAGGCTGGATTGTCATCTAGATCCTGGTGTTCCTGGATAAGGCAGAATAGCCCCTGGGGGTCTGGAGTTGGTATGAAGTAAGGCCCCCAGGAGACAACAGCCCGGTGACTCCTGTTAGGAGCTCAGACCGCCGAACCTCTTTTGGTGTCTCTGGCTTGACCCTTGTCTGCCCTTCGGTAATGGTAGGGCAGCGTTACTCAGCCTGGGGTTGGGGGCTTCTGCACACACCTGGGGTGTCCCAGCCCATGAGATGAAGGCGTCGTGTAGCCTAAAGCAAATGCTTCGGGAGCCATGCCTGTTTCGAGGGACGGCAAGAACTTCGCTTTTATGCTGTGTCAGCTGAGGTGTCTCTCTTCCCTCTGGATGACCACCCTTCTCCCCATCTTCTTCCCATCCCAGGAAACAACTACCAGGGCCATGGCAATTTTGACTTCCCCCATGGGAATCCCGGAGGGACATCCATGAACGACTTCATGCATGGTCCCCCGCAGCTCTCCCACCCACCGGACATGCCCAACAACATGGCCGCCCTCGAGAAACCCCTCAGTCACCCCATGCAGGAAACTGTGAGTACCTTCAGCTTGTACCGTTTGCCCATGTTCCACAGCCTCGTATGGGGCTGACTGAGGCAGAGGGGCCTCCCCTTGGGGTCTTTGTGATTTGAGTACCCTGGCTCGCTCCCTCCTCAACAAAAAAGAAAAACTAGGAATTAAGATCTGAGGGCTCGGAAGAAAAGGGAGAGGCTGGCGTGGTTGGTCCTTATCTGTTAGCTTGGCTGTTCTGTTGAGGACTTCGGGTTCTCTTGAAATTAAGAAAGCTCCGGGCTGCCCCCTGCGTCCACATGTACCACCTCCAAGCCCCACTTAGAGTCTTCCTCTGGCTCCTGATTCCTGCCCCCCCCAATAGCTCCCATGCTCAGTCGAGTAGTCTGCAGGGATCTGAGTCTTTCATTTGGGATCTAACCCCCAACTGCCATAAGGAGGTCCTGGGACATCTGACCTCCCTGAGGACTTGCCCTCCTTGTCTTGTCTCCTACTTACTGGCATGTTCCACGTGCCTGGGGACACCTCCTTGGAGCAAGGTGCCCAGAGCGGACCAGATGCTCCTGGGTCAGGATGCACATTAACCCTTGTGCTCACAAAGCACAGCTTCTTAAGGAGCTGGGACGGAACGAGAGCAGTGGGGGTCTGGGAGACTGAGATCCAAGGGCTAAAGTGGTTGCTGTAAGGCATCCTTCTTCATACTGATGGCTCTCATTGGAGGAAAGGGACCACAGATAGGAATGCCAGCCACAGAGGGTGCAGAGTTTCCCACAGTGCCTGGTAGTGGGGTTGGAGGACTGACAGGAGCCTTCTCATCCTCTCTCACATGGCCCGGAAGAAAGGCGTCACGCTCACACACATCCCCGATTCTCACTGAGAATGGGTATTGTGGCTGGTGATACGGCTCCGTTGGTAGAACCCTTCCCCATCAACAGGAAGGGCATGGTACAGACTAGCAATCTCAAAACTCGAGATAGAGGAAGGAGCGTCCAAAAAAAAAAAAACCAAAGAAAGAAAGAAAAGTGCATATTGAATCTGTCTTGCACAGTTTTTAACTTCCAGCCACTGACCTCCCCCCAAGCTCCCCCAAGGACCTCAGCGTTCCACAGCTAGGAGACACCCACACTCATTGCATACCCCCAAGCCCTCACAGCTGCTGATCCCGGAAGATGGTAGGGAGGACCATGCGTCCTCTTACAAGCCAAGCTTTTTTGCTTCTTGGTTCATCCTGCCACCAGGACTCTACATAGAGGATTCTGTACCTGAATCAGCCCCAGAGCTCCTCCAGGGTTCCCAAGGGTGTTCTGGTCCTTTCTCAGCTCTGTCATCTCACCTGAAAGCAACCAGACCTAGCACTGCATTTATACCACACGAGGGAGGACAGTCCCAGGTCAACCCTTAGTGCATCCGCTGGCTTGAGCAGGTGGCCAGAGGGTTCTCATGCAGTCCAGGGTATAGATGGTCCCAGGCAAGCACTGATTTGCCCAAGAGTCTCCCAAACCAGGCAACAGATTGGCAGGCACAACAACAGGGCTCTGAGCCCTGAGACATTCTAGCTGTCGTCGAGGTCAAAGGGGCAGGGGACCGGCGATTTCATAGGCTCTGAGATTTCATAGGATCAGATAATTCCAGCCCTGAGCTGAGCTGTTCACGGGATGTGGCGTCCCTCCCTACTTCCTCGGGATGAGTGCCATGGACCCATCTGCTGCTTGTGAGCTAAGTGGGAACCCCCAGATGGCCTCTCACCACTATGTGGCCTTTTCTTCCAGCCCCTGGGGACACCTGGAGACCTGGGCTGGAAAAGCACTGTGATACCGGTGTCCCATGGGAGTGGAACCCAGTAACCCCACACCAGAAAGGGCACACCAGGGCTTTTGGGAGAGACCAGACTTGGGGTCAGCTTTTAGCAGGCATGGGAAAAGGTACTGGGGTCTGGGAGATCAAGGGTGGCATGCCTACCACTTGTCAACCCAGCAAAGGAAGAACCCGGAGATGGGGCAGGGATAAGAGTCATCTGAGACCGAGGAAGCATTTTGGTCACCAGGCCGATGTGTCCTTGGCATTGTGTCAGTGGGGCTGGTGGGCCCTGTTGGAATGCATAGAGCAGGCAGAGACCTTTGCTGGAAATGTACAGAGCAGCTTCCGCTTTGAGGGGATCTGCTTGACAGAGCAAGCAGCATTCACCAGGCATGTCTACATAAAGCTCTTATAACCCGCCTAACCCGACGCATCGCAAACGAGAAGGGATGAGTTCCCTAGTCACCCCACGCCGTTCCTCAGCAACCCCAGCCAGAATGAAGCCCATTGCTTATCAGGGTGGTATGGTCTTGGGAAGGCAGTACCCTAAAATGCCGCCCCCCCCACCCCCACTCCACCCCCCCCCACAAGCCAGGGTCTCTCCGTTTTGACATCCGATGAATTCCATCCTGGAGGGGGGCAGGCAAAGCGCCCCGTCTCCTCCTTACTGCCAAGCCAGGGGCCCACTTGAGGGTCACACCTGCCCGTGCCGTGTCCACGCCTGCTCTGCAACCGCCCTGGCCCTTGGGGGCCTGCGCCACGCTGCCAGCAGTTACCCGCTTCCCAGAAACACGTCCATTTGCTTGTCCATTGTTTGTTGTGACAGTGTGGGGGGTGGGAGTGTGGGGGGTGGGGCTCTCTGGTCTATGCCTGGCTCAGGTCCCTTCCCAGGCTCCGTACAGAGTGAGGCCCCTTCCCACTCGTCCCTTCCCGGTTGTCAGTCTCTGGAGAGGATATTTTTTTGGGGGGAGGGGGTTGTTTTGTTTTTTGTTTTTTGCTCTGCCTGCCCCCAACCCCAGGTCATTGTCCTTTGTGAGGGGTTCCCTTTGTCCGAGGTCCGTCACTTCCCGGTTCGTTTGGCCGTGCCTCGTCACCTCACCTCTCTTTTCTCCTGCTCTCTCCTCCTCCACAGATGCCCCACGCTGGCAGCTCTGACCAGCCCCACCCCTCCATACAACAAGGTTTGCACGTACCACACCCCAGCAGCCAGGCAGGGCCTCCATTACATCACAGTGGGGCTCCTCCTCCTTCCCAGCCTCCCCGGCAGCCACCACAGGCCGCTCCCGGCAACCATCCACACAGCGACCTGACCTTTAACCCCTCCTCAGCCTTAGAGGGTCAGGCCGGAGCACAGGGAGCATCCGACATGCCGGAACCTTCACTGGATGTAAGTTGGGGTCACCACACCACCTCGGTCTGGGGCCAGGCATGGCACCGGGACCTTCCCAAAGAGAAGGGGGGTTACTTAAAGGGTTCAAGGCCCCCGTCCCCCGGGTGGAGAGGTGGGTGGGTGGTTGGGCGAGCCCCAGCTAGTCTCCCCTGAGTCTAGCACTAGGAAGCCCCATATGGAGATACGTCATGTGAGGCCCACCCCCACCCATGAGCCCCTTGGCCCCATAGTCCCGCCCCCGCCCCCCAGTTCTACCCATCTTCTCCCTGGGCCCTTGCAAGGGTCCCTCTAGTCAGGGTCTTGGAGATAGTACAAGAGGGTCCTTGCCCTTCTTCCCACACCCCCCCTCACACCCCCATGTCGAGCTTGCTCTTTCTGTATCTACCTTCCGGCCTGGGCTAAGGGGGGGAAGGGCTAAGAATGGTGTCCCACCATCGTCTTGCTGGTCTTGTCTGCCTGCGGTTTCCTTGTCCATGTGTTTCCATTCCCTGCTTCCGCTTGCTCCATTGCTCACTCCAAGAAAGCTCCGTGTGGGATGACAGAAGACGGAGAGGGGGGCGGGGTGGGCGTGAGACATGAGTTGGGGGGAGACGAGGCCAGAGTGGCAGCTGAGACTCAAGGATCCCCCATCTGGGGACCTCGGTGGTCTAGAAAGAGGTGGTCACAGAAAGATTGTGACTGTGACTGAACACACGGCTCCTCCTCCTCCCTCAGGAGCTAGGAGCTGTAGGCAGCCCCAGCCCCTAGGTACTAGACTCCTGGCCCCGCTGTCAACATCCTCCCTAGTGGCATCAGAGAGCTCTTGGCAGGGAGAACTGTGCTGTTATCATCTTTGGTTTGCAGATGATCTTGTTTCTCACCCCACTCCCCTCCCTTAGCCATACCAGTGGGATGCTTCTAGATTCGGGGAGCTTCTCTGCCCCTGTGTGACATACGTCCTCCAAGGGTGTCACAAGGGGAGTGGGACCCCAGGGAACAGGACAGTGTGACCAGCCAGGCACAGACTCGCTAAGATTCTGGAAGAAGTCTAGGGCCGCAAGCGCTGTGGGGGGACCAGCCAGCCTGTCTTCCCACAGCCTGCCTTGTGCTTATGGACGAAGCCAGATAGATGGCTTATGCCAGCAAGCTGCTCATGGCAGGGTCTAAGAGGACAGAGGAGCAGTCGAAAAGGAGCCCAGCCCTTGATCGGCAATGGGGCGGACGGGACGTCAGTGCCTAGGAGGAGGGATCAGCCCAGTGGGCTGGTAGGCTAAGGGTCTCACTGCCCTTGGCATTTGTTGAACGTGGGCGCACTTACCCCAGGTGAGATGCAGTGGTCTGGATCGGTCTTGGGGACAGCCAGCAGGCCCATCCGTACTCAGCACCCTTGGTTTTCCGTCTTTGAGGCGGAACCCCAGGAGGCAAGAGGAAGTGAGCAGGCCAGAGAGACCCCCGCACCCTCACTCCTCCCCCTGGACCACCCTCCGACACCTCAACTGGGCTTCTTCTTTTCTAGCTACTGCCGGAACTCACAAACCCCGATGAGCTCCTCTCCTACCTGGACCCCCCAGACCTTCCAAGCAATAGCAACGACGACCTCCTGTCTCTCTTTGAGAACAACTGAAGGCCACCTTCCACTAGGGCCACCCCCGTCTACTCTGCCTCCTACCCCCATCTGTCCCACGTACTTTTCCTCCCAGGAGCCCGCGTCCAGGCCTCCCACACCAGGACCTCAGGCTTAGGGGCTGAGCAGAGCACACTAGGCAGGGAAGGCCGTGTGGGTCTGCAGTCCCGTTTGCCTGTAGCTCTAGGGCCTGTGGTGCCCAGAGCAAGCCTGAAGACGGCCCCTGGAAGATGAACCCCAGCTGAGGGGATCCAGGCCCAGCAAGAGACATGCCAATGGCGACTTTAGGTCCCTCCTCCCTGTGTGCTGACTCCAGAAGAGCGACCTTCCAGCGCCCCAGAGTTCTTCCATGTTTTTAAACCATACCCCTCCTGCCTCCTGGCCCAGGGCCGCCTCCAAGTGACTGGAACCTGAGAGAAGCCTGCGCTCCCTCCCCCAGGCCAGGGAAGTGGACAGGCCTTGGAGGGGTGGTGACAGTTTGCAGCAGTGAGGAAGGCCACCCCCTCTCTCCCCATACACACACACACACACACACACACACACACACACACACACACACACACACCACAGAAAAGCACAAACCTCTGGGAAGGAGAACATCCCTTAGGGCTGAGGGTCGTGGCTTTGGTCTCTGACTTCTAAGCCAAGATGCCCTAGGAACACTCTGCAGAAAAACGGCAAAGTGCTGTGTCTGAGAAGGGTTGCCACTCCTGTTTGGGGACTGGTGGGAAATGGGTCAGGGCCTTCCTGTGGAGCCAGGACAATGCATAGGAGTGCTCCTCAACTAAGATCAGGGCCAAACTTTGCAGGGAGCGGAGAGAGCACATGCACATAAGTGTGTACCCCACCAAAACGTGTCCTCCCCTGGGGGGTTGGGAAGATGCTACCCATACCCAGAGCCCAATGAGAGCAGCCAAAGCCCCCAAGCCACTCCCTGCTTTTAAATGACCACAGTGGAAAGCTCTGGAGTCACCCGGGGAATGGAACAATGCATCTGGACAGCGAGCAAACCCATTTCCCTGCGTATGTTCTCTTTACCTTCCCTCCTGCCCGTACATACCCTCCCTCTCCAAGACTATTCCATGGGACCCACTTCCCTCTGGGTTCTAATTCTCCTTTCCCCAGCCAGCTGTAAGGACACATGGTAGGCACAGGCACTTGGGCAGAAACTGGCCTTCACAGCAAGAGTCCAGGGCATCCATGTCCTCTCCAAGCCTCTCAGCCTGGCCCAGCAGCAGCTTCTCCACTCAAGGCTGCCTCTGTCTCAGCCCAGGCCGTTGCTGTGTACGCCAGGGTGTCTTGGCAGGCAGCTCGTGGCATTGGTGTAGCTGCCTGCCATTCCCGGTATCCTTCCCCCCACCCAGAGCTCTCTCCACACTCCTGCTCACCCAGCAAGTGCAGCCTCTGACCCTCCGCTGTTTCACTCCATCCGGCTTAGGGACAGCCCCCCCATTCCCCGACCCCGTTGGCTTGTCATACTTTCATCTGCTTTGTTCCAGGCGGCTCTGTGTCCCCTGAGCCTTGCGGCCTGTGGCGATGCCAGGGTTGTCTGACCACGAGTCCCATCTGTAAATTCTTGGCTCCCTTCTCTAATGCTACCACCCGGGCCCTCTCCTGCCTCCTGTCCACTGTCAGCGTCCTCGTTGGTCATCGGTCGTTGGACTCTCCCTCTGTGCTTCCCTGGCACTCTTAACATAGATTGTACCAGAACGATGACCCTAACCGTTGACTTATTGGTCACCCTAAAAAGAAAAAAAGGCACAAGGAAAGCTGCCATCACCCCACCCCCCTCTCCTTCCTTTGTCCTGTTGTTGAGGTTTTTTCAGACAGTGTGTTCAGTACGCAAATCAATTATTTTAAGAATCGCTTTTGTAAATATCTCTGTGAATATTTTAGTATCGTCTTTGATAATATCCAACATTTTCATGACCTGGTAATAGCCTTTGCTGGTGTTTTTAAAACTATCTCGACTCAAATGACAGAAACCAAGTTCTTTTTAAAAAAAAAAAAAACAAATAACAAAAACAAAACAAAACAAAAAAACCAACCAGGGCTATTTGTACAGATGAGGGAGGCACAGAAGAGGTGGCCGTGCTCAAGTTGAGAGACCAGGCAGCCCACTGTTGAGAGCCACTCTCAGCCAGCCAGGTAGGGACAACACCACACCAGGCATCACGTGAGTTCAGGCCCCTGCCCAGTGCCTGTGTCCTGGCGCACGGCCGCACTCTGTGAGGGCCTTGTTTAGCTTTAGACTGACAGATGCCTTTCTCAGAAGTTCCTGCTTCTCACCGGCCGCAATACTGTGCCCCGGAACAGCATGGGGTCCCTGCTGGTTCTCCTCAAGGTGTGCCCAGGTTCCCCACAGCTTCCCAGTGCAGATGGCCTAGACACTCCCCGTGTCGCACCCCCTCCTGGCGTCCCTCCGTTGGCACACCTGAGGCTGATTCCCTAGGCTTCCTCCCAGGCAAGCGCCCACCAGCAAGTTCACCACAGAGCCTGAAGCCCACACTCTGGGGACATGGCCCCTTCCAGAGAAATGTTGGGGCTCGCCCAGGGTGTGTGTGAAAGAGAGGGGTACAAAAGATGTCTTGGGGCTGGAGCCATGCCTTGATAGTGACAGGTGCAGGTAGAGGTGACATCCCTAAGCAGAGGCAGGCATAGGCTCTGGGAAGATCCCCCCCCACACCTCTTTCCTTTCTGACAACAACTTGGAGCCATAGTCACCTCAGAGATGAGGCCACTTCACCACAACGAGCAAACCCACCCGCAGGCGTGAACCGGCCACCGCTCCGCAAAATGAGCTGGGAGTCCATGGGCGGCGGATGGGAAGGGCCCCCCTCCCGCTCACAGGCGATCACACACGCACACACACACACACCCATCTTCTTGGTTTGAAGCTTTATTCGTGTCTCATGTCCCCTGTAGCCATTTTATTTTTTAAAATGATTCCTAATACTTTCTCCCTAACGGAAGCCCTAAACACCCCACCCCCACTCCCCCCCAACCCCCCAGAGAGCTACAGGTCTGCTCCCGGTGGGCCCTCGGGCTTTGACCCATCCAGACTGAGGCAGTATGAGCAGCAGCGCGACTCAAGGGACGTGTGTACATATGTAAATGAGAAATAGACATGTCAACAAGATGCATTCATTTCCTCTCGGAATGTGTATTTGTTTTTTTGTTTTTTTTTTTTATTTCACGAAGCAAAACAAAAGGCTTGGAATTCCTTCATCTTAACGTGGAATACTAGATGGCGTTTGTTAGCGTTTGTGACTCCACTTCTGTCTCATGTAATATACTCTTGCCCCCCCTCTCCCCGCCGGTGTGGAAAGGCATTTTTGTTCTGTTTTGTTTTTTTTTTTTTAATTTTTGCCTAGTCCTAGCCCTGCCACCTGTGTATTTTTAGGGTGCTACGGAAACAATGAAGAGAAACGGGGATTTCGGAAGAAAATTGTAACCAAATTCATCCTTTGTATAAGTTTTTTGATATCATGATCGCAGGTGATTCCACACGTACACAACACCCACACCCACATGTGCAGCCTGAAGTGACGTCCATGGGAAACCGCCATTGTCTTTGTACATCGTATGTACGCTGCAATCATTTCATACTTTCGACTGGTCAGAAAACTAATTGTGATTTCTAGTCTTGCAAAGCTGTATGTAGTTAGATGATGTGACCTCTAATATTTATCTAATAAATATGTATTCAGATGAAACCTGTATATTAGGTGTTCATGTGGTTATTTTGTATTTAAAGATCAAATTATTTGATTATTGCTAGACATTTCTATACTCTGTTGTAACACTGAGGTATCTCATTTGCTCATGTTAATTTTTTTCTAAATAAATTGACAAAAAAAAAAACACGAAGGTTCTGGTGAGTTAGCTGTTTTGTGGGTGTTAAGGACCAACCGGTCTGAGGGAACTAGCACCCTTATCCTGTATTGTCTGTGCACACACAGGAGCAGCAGATTGGTTTGAGTGTTGGCTTGGGAGAATCCTATTCGTTGGTCCCTCCTGGGGGAAAACCTATCTCCAAAACTAGCCCTGCTAAGGGCTTGTGGGATAGCAGTCTGTGATGCCCGGCTAAACGAACCCTGGACAGGGACTGTTGAGGAGGGGTGCTGGCCTTAGGCCATCTGTGACTCAGACTGGCTGTCTTAGCAGCCCTTGCTGAGTCTGGCAGACTAGGAGCAGCCTGTCCAGGTCAAGTCAGAAGTCCTGTCCGTGGCGTCTGGGCACTGCCGTACTTCGTTAAGTGCCTCCACAGCCTCCACAGGGCTGCAGAGCCCTGCTGTCTCCAGCCACCCGGCTTCTCCCCGCTCAGCACCAAGTGAAATTCAAGTTTTACTCTGTGGCTGCGTTTTCACGGGTGTCTCCCTCCCCAGGCCACAGTTCCAACACTCAGCCACAGTTCCAACACTCAGCACACTCAGGCCACAGTTCCAACACTCAGCACAAACTTACTTCTGGGGCCACAGTTCCAACACTCAGCACAAACTTACTTCTGGGGCCACAGTTCCAACACTGAGCACACTCAGGCCACAGTTCCAACACTCAGCACAAAGTTACTTCTGGGTATCCAATTTAAGGGTCTAGGGTCGTAGATCTGATTGGCAGGGCCGGTAGCGGTCCCTGGCCTTCCTCCACTCAAGCCTGGCCACCGAGCAATTAAAAAAAAATAAAAATTTAAAAAAAAATACGAGTACAGCTGTCTCAGCCCTCCCTCGGTGAGGTCTAGAAGTGACAGTTCAGGAGGCTCCCCAGATATATCCACCGGTGTGAATCAGGTGTGTGGAAGAGGTGTGGAGGTCGATGGGGGCACACCTTGGGGGGTGGGGTGGGTGGATGCGTACAAGAGCCAGCTAGGCCTGAAGGACTGCCATGGGGACCTGGGCACTGAGAAGTACCCACTGCCAGGAAGACGGGGACTGAGAGAGACTAAGGTAGCCAGGGTTTCTTGTTTGAATAATAGGAGATGAAGGTGAGAAGAGAATGATACCGCATTAAAGACAGAGTCCTGGCCACTGCTAAGCCGCCGGCACTGGCAGCATTGTCCTCAGCAGCCTGAGGTGTCAGGAGACCTCCCTGGGCATGAGGGGAGGCTTTGCACAGGGCACCTCCACTCCCTGTTGCCTTAGATCAAAGTGAACTGAGAAATAAGTGCGGTGTCGGGGCGTGAGCTTTAAATAAAACGGCCAAGGTGGAAAATATCAGCAGGGTCCCCTATAGGGGAAGGAAAGGGCGTTAGGCGGCTATCACGGTGGGGGATGGGAGTGTGGGCACGCTGCATTGAGTTAGTTCTTGTGGGCTGTGGTTAAAAAGAGACGAAACGTCTGAGCACCGTTGCCTTCAAGGCAGGAAGTGAGCAGAGGAGTCGGAGACTGGCTTCACTAAGAGGAGACTTGCCAGTTTTAGCTCGGCACCCTGCGGTGGCTTCCCTGAGCCCTCCTGGCAGCCTTAGTCCAGCTCATGCCTTCTTCTGGAATGGAGGGCCTAACTGGGACATGAGGAAAGTCATCCAAGCCAAAACAAGGCTGAACTCCCGCTCCCAACACATAATTAAAAATAATAATCTGCAGGGGGTGGGGCAAAAGCCTCCTCTCCAGGCAACTGAGGTTCAACTTCCATTCCCCAATGGCCATCCTCCACATACCTAGTCCCAAAGAGGAACTTTGTTTTGTTGTGTTGTGTTTTGTTTCCTGAGACAGGATTTCCCTTTGTAGCCCTTGCTGGCCTGGAAAAAAAAAATCTCTTATGTAGATCAGGCTAGCCCCGAGCTCACAGAGACCTGCCTGCCTCTGCCTGCCTCTCGAGTGTGGGAATTAAGGGCTTTGGCCTCCACACTCAGCCTGGTGAGACTTTTTAAAAAAATTACGTCAGGGCGTTTTGCTTTCATGTGTGTATATGTTACTCTTGAAAGCCAGAAGAGGGCCTCGGGTCCCCCTGAAACGACTTTCAGACAGTTGTAAGCTGCCATGTGGAGGAATCAGGCCCAAGCCCTCTAGGATCTCTGCAAGAGCAGCAAGCACCCCTGATCGCTGAACCAGCCTATGGTGAGACCCTCTGTGACCCACCCATCCTCCACTGTTGGGAGAGCACCAAGGTCCCTATATAGTACAGTCACCCTTGGCAGGCAGGGAGTACATGTTACTTCCTCCCATCCCCCTGCCCCTGCGCAGTAGCCCACACCCACTAGGAACTCACTGCCATAAGGAACTGCAGGGTGACCCTTCCTTCGGCAGGGTAAGCTCAGCCGCCCCCTCCCCGCTCCCGACAGACCTTCCTGAGGGTCATCAGGGCAGAGCTTCACCAGAGAGGCCTGCGCCTGCTCCCCTCTCCTCCTCTGCCTTCCTGCTGGTTCTCTCCCAAGCCTCTGCCCTGTCCCAGTAAAGTGTAGTAGACACATGCAGGGAGCGAGTGGAGTTCCAAGTGAGTGTGCCTTGTTTCACGCGACACAGCCACATCAGGAACCAAGGAATCGGTCCCATGGGAAATCAGGGAAACCTTTTTTCCCCTGGGTCAGGCAAAGGCTGCTTCTGTCCCTAACCACTGACCGGCGTGTACGAAAACCGGCAATTGTGGTCTCCTCCTCCAGTCTACACACAGCCTGAGAGTGCTCACAGACAGAAACCGCCAACAAACACTAGCTTGCCCCGCCCCCTGCGCCATATCCAATAAATGGACGAGGTGCCATCAGAGCACACACAGCCCGCCTGACCTAGCTTTTCTGCATCCGTGTGTCTCTCACTTCAGTATCTGTCCGCCCTTAGTTCCCTTGCCATCCAGTCAGGCTTCTGGACCCAGGCTTCTCCGGGTCTCGGTGGATGCCTTCGTGTGTCTGCACAGGGAGATGTCGCGGTGTTGCCTTGGCATCCATTTAGGATATAAGTTCAATGCTCGCCCCCAAACTGAGCTCAACTGAAACCACTTCTCCTATTCCTCTTCCTCCTAGGGCCTCGGCGTGACCGATCCAGGTATCTGCTTGATACAACCGTTTCCCCAGGGGGACAAATAGGTGAACCCTGCTGACCCAGCTCGCACGGACTACGTAGACAGACACGGTGGCCCTCCTTACCTCACCGTCACAGCTGGGCCTCCTGGGGCTGGCACACACTTCCTTTAACCCACCAACTAGAACTTCCTAAGGGAAACCCGTTTAGATACTACCTAGACCCAGAGACAAAGGCATGCAATCAATGCCATTTTTATGTCCATGTCCTTTGTAGTCAACAAAGGGGTGTTACAATGTAAAGATCCCAAATTTAGCGTCTGCTTGGGTTCTGCCCCTAGGGAGCCATATTTAGACGGTGGGTGTCAGGGTGGGCCTCAGAGGCAGGCTCTGATCACAGATATGGACCACAAACCCGGTGACAATGAGGATCTGGCCTTGGCGGCAGGCAGAAGTTGACAACCCCAGGCACTGGGTGGCGGCATGTCACCTGAGGTAAACTGAAATAGAACATGGGGCAGCTGCCCCTGCTGGAGTCGCGTCCCTGCTCAGACCATTCATATCTTCCCGGGTGCTGTGAACCCGTGGTGTCCCTTTTCTCCAGACAAGGTTGACTTGAGTCTCTGCCATATTCTGCTTTGCCCACTGGAGAGACAGTCTGACAAGTACAGCATTTATTTTATTTTTATTTATTTATTTATTGGTTTTTACAAGACAGGGTTTCTCTGTATTGTTTTGGAGGCTGTCGGTCCAGCCCGGCCTCGAACTCACAGAGATCCTCCTGCCTCTGCCTCCCGAGTGCTGGGATTAAAGGCGTGCGCCACCACTGCCCAGCAAGTACAGCATTTATTATTCAGTCAGGCTGAGCCCACGGGTGACTACTATACTTGTGTCATTCCACACCAAGAAAAGGGTGAGTCTCCTGAGCCCACACAAGCCCTTGAGGATTCCCAGGCCAAACTGAGGAAGATCTCAGGTCCTGGGACCACAGCATCTCTCCCGGGGAGAGGGAATGTGGAAATCCAGGATCCTGAGCTTCTTCGTTGGGCCACTATGTCCCTGAACACATGCTCAGACCATCCCCTGGGATGGACAAGTAGTAGGTCTCCAACTAGGAGAGCTCTAGGAGGCAGCAACAGAAACCAGCTCTGATCACCTTGCAGGGAGGAAAGGTACGTAATGATTAATGAGTTGAAGTACTGTGGAGGAGAGTTAGGAAACAAGCTTTGAAAGTAGTCACCAGCCACACGGGCTTGGAACTGCTACAGGAGAGACGGACTTCAACTCCACCCTCCAACCCCACCCCACCCCCACAGTTCCGGCTTCACCTCCTACTAAGTGCTATCTGATGGATTGTGTTAAAGGTATAGGTAAAACTGTTCCCTGCCAGGCTTGTAGCATTGCTATCCAAACATTGAAAAGTAGTTTTTATGGGGCTGACGACGGGTCAGTGGTGAAAGTGCTTCCCTTGCAAGCCTGAGGATTTGGGTTCTATTCCATGATGGATCCCATGGGGAAGGGAAAAAAAAATCAACCCTTGAAAATATTCCTCTGACCTCCATAAGCATGCCATGGACAGAGAGAGAGAGAGAGAGAGAGAGAGAGAGAGAGAGAGAGAGAGAGAGAGAGAGAGAGAGAGAGAGAGAGAGAGAGAGAGAGAGAATGAATAATTATATAGATGCCTATATAATGCTTCCAATTTGTCCTTTGCCCCCATAGAATCTGAAGAATTGACCATCTGATCCTTGAAAGAAAAGTTTGCAGGCTCTT